TTCCCAGAAGAACTGCCTCCGAGTAGTCTCTTCTCGCTGTCCAGATTCTCTGGTGCGGGTCCTAACCCACCCTTGGTCAGTGCTGGTCACCGACATACAAGAACATAAAAATGGTTTACCAAATTATCATTCCAACTAATTCTACTTAAAGAAGAAAAAAAGCTTAAGCTATGAGAGCTAGAAAAGTGTTAGTTACCAGTTGGAAAATATAATAGACACAAATTTGTTCTTCTAGTCTCATGAAATGACTTTGATTAAAATATACTAATGCTTTCATTTCATTAATTTTATTTTTTACAATTAAATGTAGGTTAATTCCAAATAGCAGCTCTTTGTCCAAACAAATAGTATGACAGGAAAACTAGCTAGGATAATATTTGTTACAGTATTAAAAACACAAATAATTAGTTTTGAGGAATGAATTATCTCAGATGTAGGAAGGTGTGGAAATAGTGCTAGAAGGACTAGTGATCAAATTTGATGTCAATTCTATTAACTATTTGTGATTCTCAAACACAGAAAAACTCACAGAAAGGAGCCTCTCAAAGAAGCATACGTATAGCTTACAGATCAAAAAATAACTTTCATTATGACTCATACACATAAAAATACTTCATAAAAATATGCAAAATAGCTTAATATAACTTCATGAAATATGAACAATGAAAATGACCAACTACAGTAGCTTTAACTTGAAAAGGATATCACGTACTGGTAATCTCAATCTCTCAAAAAAAGACAAGGAAACTGAAACTCAGAGAAATTAGAAGTGTTATTAATCATCAAAGTGTTACGTGCAGTTTCTAGAGTAGAATCTAAGTGTTAAGATCAGTCTACTGCTTTTTCTACTAAATCACTAGACATTTACCACAGTTAACCAGAAAAACTATATATCATCAAGGCCATTCACTCTGGCATTTAAGGTGCTCTGCCTTTATCCACACTTACATACCCACCCAAACGTAACTATATTTTCATTTGTCCTTTCTTCCTATGACTCGGTCTCAGAGGTTAAGGCATCCCTCTTCAAGTTCAATGTTACCCTCTTCAACTATACTTTTGCATCTATCCTTCCTCATCTCTCTAGAACCTCACTCTATCAATAATTACCTTCTTCTTGTCTCTATTGTCAGCCTCTCTGTAGGATAGCGCACGTGGTAGTTGTCCAGGTGACACTCACAGGAAGAAAATGACACAAGGACATGAATACCAGAAAGCTGAATTATAAGAAGCCATCTTAGAAGCTGCCTGCCACAGCTTCTAAAGAAAAGCAGGGTGGGAGGCTTGTTAGCCAGATATTAGGCAAGCAATTCAGAAGATGTGGTATTGGCACAAAGATAGATTAACTGACTAACAGAATGTAATAGAGAACCCAAAAGCAAATGAGTGCACATATGGAACCCTGGAAAATGACAGAGGTTAATGTCAGATAATGAGGAATGGGGGGACAATTCAGTATACGGAGGTAGAAAAAGTGGTTATGCATATGAAATTAGGATCCCTAACCACCTCCCATACCATTTTAAAAAAACAAAAACATGGCAACCACTTTGGGTTCCCTCCCACTGTGGGAGCTTTTCTGTTTTCTCAATAAATCCTGCTTTCAAACAAACAAACAAACAAACAAAAACAGTTTAGTGAAAATATAGGTGAATATTTTTTAGACCTTTAGATAGAAAATATTTCTTAAGTTAGACACAAAGAGGTTGATGATAAAAAGATAAATGAGTATGATTATATTCAAATTAAGCACTGTCATTCATTAAATGGTACCTTAAAGATCGTGAAAAACTGGGAAACACAACCAACAAAGTGTTATTGTCAAGAATATAATAAAGAGTTCAGCCTGGCTGGGTGGCTCAGCCTATAATCCTGCACTTTGGGAGGCTGAGGTGAGTGGATTGCTTGAGCCCGCGGGTTCAAGACCCGCCTGGGCAACTTGGCAAGACCTCATCTCTACAATAAATCAAAAAATCAGCCGGGCGTGGTAGCACATGCCTGTAATCCTGGCTACTCGGAAGGCTGAGGTGGAAGGATCAGTTGACTCCAACTCAAAAAAAAAAAAGAGTTCATACAAGTCAATGAGAAAACTATAAACAACCAAATAGGCAAAGGATATGAACAGGCATTACTTAAGAGAGGAAATAGTATATAAAGAAAAGTTCAATAATATCAGTAATCAGAGAAATGCAAATTAAGACCACAAAGAGATTAATCCATTCAACTGGCAAAAGTTAAAAAGTGACAATGCTACATGTTGGAGACAACACAGCTCCAAAGGATCTCGCTTACATTGCTGTTGGAAACTAAACTGAGGCAACCACTTTGAAAATAGTTTGAAATTATCTCCTAGAGTCGAACGCTAGAGACTCCATCATCAGAAGGGTAGATGTGAAAATGATGATACAGTCACACAAAGGAGTATCATAGAGCAGCCCCCAAAATGCACAACTATGAATGAATCTAAGCAATATAATTTGAAGTGTATAAGGTGAGGCTCAAAAGATCACACACTGTTTTTATAAAGTTAAAAATATCTAAAATCAAAAATTGCCCAATGAACATGGAATTCAGAAGGACAGTTACCTCAGGTCAGTGGAAGCAGGGAAACGAAGGGACCTACAAGATTAGATGTCAGAGCCGGGCTCGGTGGCTCAGCCTGTAATCCCGCGCCTTTGGGAGGCTGAGGTGAGCGGATTGCCTGAGCCCACGGGTTCAAGAGCCGCCTGGGCAGCGAGACCTCATCTCTACAGTAAATAAAAAAATCAGCCGGGCGTGGTAGCGCACGCCTGTAATTCCGGCTACTTGGAAGGCTGAGGCGGAAGGACCACCGGAGCCCAGCAGGTCGAGGCTGCGGTGGCCGGGAGCAACCACGGCACTCCAGTCTGGGCGACAGAGTGAGACTCCAACTCAAAAAAAAAAAAAAAAAGATTAGATGTCAGTTACTGTCCAGAGTATAATTTTATTTTGTGTGAAGGGTACAGAGATACTTATTACATTATTAAAAATGATTAATTAAGTAAATAAATAAAAGTCAGGCATGAACTAATAAGGAGAGTGTGCCATGAAACAAAGATATGTTGTATCCAATTCTTACACCTTCAGGAATTCATATAGAAACATAAATGACCACAAATAGCCAAAACAATTCTCAACAACAACAACAAAAAAGCAGGAGGCATCACACTCCCAGACTGTAAGCTTTATTATAAAGTTACAAGAATCAAAACAGCCTGATATTGGTACAAGAACAGGCACATAGACCAATGGAACAAGATAGAGATTCCAGATGCAAAACCTCAATTTCTCAACCAACTCATCTTCGACAAAGCCTCTACCATCAATCACTGGGGAGAGGAGAATCTATTCAGTAAATGGTGCTGACAAAACTGGCTGAACACATGCAGAAGATTGAAACAAGATCTCTACCTATCACCATACACAAAAATCAACTCTAAATTGATCAAAGACCTAAATGTAAAAACTCAAATTATTAGAACCTTAGAAAATGCAGGAGATATCCTTATGGAAATTGGGACTGGCAAAAAAATTCCCGATCAAAACCCCAAGTGTCCATGCCATAAGAGATAAGATAGACAATTGGGACTTCATCAAACTGACAAGTTTCTGCAAAGTCAAATAAATCATCAAGAGAGCGGGGAGACAGCCCACAGACAGGGAAAAAATATTTGCCAACTGTATATCTAACAAAGACCTAACATCTAGTATCTACAAGGAACTCAAATGTGCCAAAAGAAAAAAGCAAACAGCCCCATTACAAAGTGGGCAAAATATATGAATAGAAACTTCTCAAAAGAAGACATACGAGTAGCCAACAGTTACATGAAAAAATGCTCAGCCTCACTAGTCATCAAAAAATTCAAAATAAAACCACACTGAAATACCACCTAACTCAGGATGGCCATCATCAATAACTCAAAAAACAGCTGATGCTGGAGAGGATGCGACAAAAAGGGAACACTTCTACACTGTTGGTGGGAGTGTAAACTAGTACAACCTCTGTGGAAAACAGTATGGTGATTCCTAAAAGATCTAAAAATTGACTGCCCATATGACCCCACAATTCCCCTACTGGGAATATACCCAGAGGAACTCAAATCACTCTATGAAAAATATACCTGCACATGCATGTTTATTGCAGCATTATTCACAATAGCAAAAACACGGAACTAACCGTGTTCCATCAAAAGAGAACTGGATTTGAAAAATGTGATACATATACATGATGAAATATTATACAGACATAAAGAAGGACAAAATTAGAACTTTGCAGCAACTTGGATGGACTTAGAGGCTATAATACTGAGTGATCTATCACAGAAAAAAAGAACTGAATATCACATGTTCTCACTTATAAGCAGACCTTGAACAACTATTGTAATACTATAAGAAAGGGATTGGCAGTAGTGGGAAACTGCCATGGGAGGGCGGGGACAGGATTGGCAGTAATGGGAAACTGCAGAGGGGGAGATCCTTCATCAACAAGGGTACCTGCATAATGAACATTTGTATAACTAACCCTGAATTGTACCCCATGTATTTAAAATTTTAAATTAAAAAATATATATATATATTTTTTAAAAAGGTTCCACAAGCTGCATGGAGCTTCCTTTGATTTCAACTTGCATGTTAATCATGCCCTTTACCAACTCCTATAGCAAGTATGATTTGTATTACATGGTGTATCTTGTAATATCTGTTGTTTCAAATTTAATGGTCTTGCTTCCTTACCAAGAATATAAATATTTCCTATTTCCTTAAGGCTAGTATTTCTATCATATGTACTTTCTCTGAAAAGGTAGAGTAGGTGCTGAGTAAATATTTGTTAAACCCTCATATTTAACTTTTTCTTCAAATAACAAGAGTAAAGCTGCAACCCCTGTACCCTAAATTCCTTTTTAAAAATATCATATTACTACCTTTAATTTAATGATTCCTACTACTTTAACCAGAAACTTAGACCCAAATCACCTGCTCACCTGTTATGGCTGAGGGAGGCAGTGATGGGGGTAGGCACCACAGTCTGTAACCCCTCCCCTTCTATCTCAGTACCGACAAGGCAGATGAGCTGGAGTTCTGGCAATCCCACACAGTTTACTTCATGCCAACTTTTACCTGAAAGAGCATCACTGAATGGACAATAATGTTTATCAAAAACAAAAGAGAAAAACTCCAAACTGCTACCGAATACTCAGCTGAAAAATCATCACTCATAATACTGCCTCTTCTCTTTACTTTCTAGTAGTAGCTGTTACCCAGTAATTCCCAAGTTAAATAAAGAAATCATACAATTAATAAAATTAGTAGGAAATATATGACTGATTCCTAATTATGATGTCAGCAATGCAATATCCCAATCCAACTCCTCAAACCCCCTACCACAGACCCAATAGCAAAACAACATAAGCAACTTACTCTCCATGAGGTCCAGGTAAACCAAGAAGGCTATATAAACTTGGGTGGCATCTCCTATATCTAATTCCATCATTTCTAAATACTGAAAATCAAAATGCAATTGTCAAATAGAGAAGGAGGAATCTCTTAATATTTTCTTTCAACCAGCAAGTATTCATTAAATATATAGAATACATAAAGCTCTCTTCTAGGAATAGTAGAAGTTAAAAGGCAATATAAGATCTGATCTCTGTCTCTAAAGAACTTGCAATTCTCAAACACGGGCATACTTAAAAATGATAGACACATAACAATGTATGACAATAAGTGATTAAAAACTATGTGAATGGACTTTTGAAAAACATGATGCAACTGGTCAGAGGAGCTCTACTCAGAGGGCTGTTGAATGCTTTATGGCAGAGGTGGGATGCAAGTTGAACTCTGAAGAACATCATGAGTTGAGTAAATGGAGAAGTGGAAATAAAATTCAGGTAATCACACAAAGGTGGAACTAAACTACACATATTCAGCCACACATATTCAAAGGCCTATAAAGAAGCCTACTTGTCAGGAGTAAAAAAAAAAAAAAAAAAAAAAAATTTTTTTTTTTTTTTTAAGAGACAGGGTCTCACTCTGTCACCCAGGTTAGAGTGCAGTAATATGATCATGGTTCACTGTAACCTCGAATTCTTGGGCTCAAGTGATGCTCCCACTTCAGCCTCCCAAGTTGCCAGGACTACAAGCTCGTGCCACCCCACATGGCTAATACTTTATTTTTCATAGAGACGGGGTCTCCCTATGCTGCCCAGACTGGTCTCGAACTCCTAACTTCAAACAATTTGCTTATCTTAGTTTACCATAGCATTGGGATTACAGGTGTGAGTCACTGTGCCCATCAGGAGCAGAGAAATTTTAAATAGGAATTTTGCTGGGACATGTTAGTGGGGAGCCTCTATTTCCCATGCGTATAATCTGCATGTGGAGAGAGTTTGCTAGTACACAGCTCCTAGCTTCTCTTTAAACTCTCATGCAAGAGTTGGGAATTATTTAATTGTTGTAGCGGCTCCATTCAGACTTTGTGGTCAACATGAAGGGAGCATTTTTCAGAAGGCTATGTCTGCAGGGGAAACCTGAGACTGCCTGGCTATGCCAGTGACTAGGTGGATAAGCAGTTATAATGCAGACATGAGGTTTTAGCAGACATGTGTGAGAGGTCGTCTGAAGTCACATTCTTCCATCAACCTCCCCATAAGTGTACAGGTACAGGTGAGTAGGGGTTTTATTAGCTGTCCACTTCTAACTTATTTGAAAATGACACTGAAAATGCAATTTCAGGCCAGGTTACAAGGTCTTGGTGGCCCAACTAAAGTTGTGAATTTTATCCATTAGGAAAGACTGAAGATTTCTAAGCAGGAGAATAATAATCCAAGTGCTATTTGAGGATCATAAATCTGACACCATTTTACTGGCTGAAACTTAAGTAATTTTCAAATGGCATAACAAAAAGGTGGAACTGGAAAAACAAACACCTACTAATATTTCTTTTCTTCCTTTTATATCAATTTGGGTCTTCAGGAAGAAAAATCCAAAGGGAAGATTTGATTATCAGGGTATTAACTTAAAAAAGAAAAAAGTCTACAAGTATGTAAACTGTCTGAATGGCAACACCAAATCTAGATAAGGTCTTCAATTATTAAATATTTACATAGTGTTTTCTATATATGAAATGCCTTACAAATATTAATTGATTTAATTATGTAATAACCCTATGAAATAGGATAGTGTGGACTAACAATATCCTCACTTTCCAGATAAGGAAACTGAGGCAGAATGATATCAAGAAACTTGCCCCAGATCACAAAACTGGCAAGTGACAGACCAAAGATTCAAATACATGGAGTCCAACTTTGAGTTTATTCTCCTAATCTCCATGCTGCCTCTCTATGCTATTGTTTTTCTTTTTATGGCAATGAATATTTCCATGCTATTGTTTCTTTTTCTCACCTTTTTGAGAGGACAAAGGGGACAGAGCAGGAGAATAAAACTCTTCAAATTTACACCTTCAAAATTTTCCTTATCTTGATTGTTTTGGGATGATTATCCATGAGTTAGTGTCCCCAAGCAGAAGAGTGCAATTCTACTTAAGTACCAGACCAGCTGCTGTAACGCCTACAAAAAAACCTATTTGTCCATTTACTGCTTGAGACTTACTGGTACAAGGTTGCAATTTCCCAAGCATAAGCAAGCAAGGGACTACCTTTATCTTACATGCTGGCAACATGGGAAAATACACTCATAGCATGAGTAGCTCTACTTTGGGCAAGAACTTAATCAGAGTTTCCCAGAAATCTGAAAAATTGGGAATCTCAATCTATGCAAAATCAAAATGCACATTCAGCCCAAGGCTAAGAAGAGTAAAAGTGGCTGCATAAATCTTTTATCACTATGGACTCCCAGACCTTATCCACGGCCCACAGACTGTGATTCATCCCCGAAAGGAGCTCTATCCCGGCAGCGAAACTTAGACATTAGTGGAGTGCTTAAGACTCTCCGGCTTGAGAGGGGCGGGGCTTAATGTCTCGTCCGCGGTTGAAGAATGGCTTTGGTGGGGAGTGAGGAGGGTATCAGAGCGATAGCTAACGCGTGCAAACAAAAGCACGATCGATACTGCCAGCGGCTGGCAGCCGTGTACACCAGGCCCCAAAGGTGAGGGTGGCGCGCATGCTCAGTCATCCCGCCGGTTGAACAGGGAGCGCGGCCCGAGCGTTCCGCCTGGGTTGGGGACCCGGACTGGCTCCCTCCTCCTGTCGCGCCTCCTGACCTTAGGGTGGGTGCCTATCCAAGCGTCCTCAGGAGCCCACGAGTGAGCCCCACCACCGCCGCGGCCGCGATCGCCACCTGGGCCCAGACCGCTGCAGCCGGGTGTCGGTTCGGAATCGCCCCGCTCCTCCATGCCGGCTGGTGCGGCGCGCCCGCGGTGCACCGGGACCCGCGCCCGGCCAGAAGCAGGGGTGCTCTCGCCCGGGTTCCGCTTCCCCGCCGCCCTCCGCGCCCACGTGGGAGAGCTCAGAACTGGGAAGAGAGCCCCGACCCCTGGCAATGGGGGCCAGAAGCTGCGCAGAGGTTCTCGTTTGCTCTGTGTTTATTCACATCTGGGAGGATTCTAGCGTGAAAATTTTCGAGTAGTCTGAGCACAGAAGCCTTTACCCCTGCTTAAGTCAGTGCTGCTTGTAACTCTCTTTAAAAAGTGAGGGATACGTGAGTCCTTTTTGCCTTCAGCAGTGGGGTCCTGGTCTCCGATTCCTGGGAACAGAAAAAGCCTCATTCAGTTCCCTGTCATAGAAGTCTAAAGTAAAACCATAGTTTGAGGGTGGACCTACCGCTCAGGATTAGAGGAAACACGAGTTGTTTAATGAGTGTTTAGAAAGGTAAGTTACAACCCAGCATAAGCATGTGACCTGGAAGCCAAGGACAAGGAGTTTCAGACAGGCAGAGTAGGACATTTTAAGCATTTTAAAATGTACTATGAGTGAGATGGGGAGCCATTGGAGTCTCCTATTACGTTTTAATAGGCTCACTCTGACTGATGTGTTGAGAATAGACTGTTAGGGACAAGGGTACGAGGAGGAACAGGTTAGGAGGCTATAGCATTAATCCGGGGCAAGAAATGGCTCTCTGAAAATTCAAAGTCCCAGACAGAACAGAACTTCTACTTCCAGACATGAAAGACTAAGACCCAACTGGACCATTTCCTAGCAGAAAAGTACTAAAAAAACTGGGACATAATACAAAAACCACTACTTGAATATACTGGAGTGTAAACAGCAGACTGGTAGGAAGGGTAAGCTTGGTTGGAGATGAAGATCTCTAAAGAAAATTCCCCTCTCTTTTCCATTTAGCTTGGGGCTAAGTGTTGTCAGCAGCAGCAAGGGTGCATGTGGAAAATTCATCAATTTTTCTTTTCTGGAGGACCAGAAAAGTGAAGCTAGTAAACTTCCGCTGCTGAGGCGACTAGGAAATCCCAAGGAAGGAGTCAGAGAGTGGATTTCCAAACTCTATCAACTCCCATCTCTGACAGATCCTGGACCTACCCAAAACAGAGTCATAGCAACTCAGCTGAAAACTAAAGATCTGACTGGGCTCAGTGGCTCAGCCTGTAATCTCAGCACTTTGGGAAGCCAAGGAGCGTGGATTGCCTGAGCCCGCGGGTTCGAGACCCACCTGGGCAACTTGGCGAGACCTTGTCTCTACAATAAATCAAAAATTAGCGGGGCGTGGTAGCGTGAGTCTGTAGTTCTGGCTACTTTGAAGGCTGAGGCAGAAGGATCGCTGGGCCCAGCAGGTCGAGGCTGAGGTGGCCGGGAATTTGTCACCGCACTCCAGTCTGGACAACAGAGTGAGACTACAACTAAAATAGAAAAGAAAAGAAAACTAAAGATCTGAACTGAGACCAGAGCTGCCCTCCAAGGGATAAAGTTTGCAGTTCAAATTCAACCAAGAAAATTACCTACTAATGCAAAGGAAATGGTACTCATCAGAGAAAAATAACAGAGTCCAGACTCTCCACAACTTAGCACTTATGAAGTCCAGGATACTACCCAAAGTTATCTAACATATGCAAATCAAGAAAATGGGTCACATTCTCTAGAGTCCAATCCTTAGAAGAATCAGATGTTGAAACCGACATAAGAATCTTAAAGTGACTATTATAACTACCCTCAATTAAATAAATTATGTTTTCCTTCTTTTTCTAAATTTTATTTATTGTAGAGGTGATGGCTCACCACGTTGCCCAGGCTGATCTCGGGACCGTGAGCTCAGGCCATCTTCTCACCTTGGCCTCCCAAAGTGCTGGGATTATAGGCATGAGCCACCATACCTGGCACATGTTTTCAATGAGTGAAAATCTCAGCAGAGAAAACAGAAAAGATTTTAAAAACCAATGAAAATTCTGAAACTGACATTTTATAATTTCAGAAATAAAAAAGTCACTGTGTGACTTTAAGTCAAAAGGACATTACAAAGGAAAAAGTAAATAAACTTGAAGATAGAGCAATAGAAATCATCCAGAATGAATAGCAAATGGAAAAATGACTTTTAAAAAACTGAACTGAGCTGCAGAGACTTGTTACATGGTATCAAGCAACCCAACATACATGTAAATGGAATAACAGACGGAGGGAAAAAAAAGAGAATGGGGCAGGAAAAAACTTTGATGAAATAATGGCCAAAGTTTCCTCAAAAAAATTTGATGAAAGACAAATGTGTACATACAAAATGTAAACGAACACCAACTAAAATAAACACAAAGAAGCCCACCTTGTGATCAAACTGTTGCAAGTCAAAGAGAAAAGTCTGAATGCACTAAAAGAAACACAATACATTATATACAGAGAAAAGAAGCACATCTATTCTTGAATGAGATATAAAGCCACACATGAAGATTCATATGTTGCCCTAGAATATACTGCCTTTGAATAAAGTAATTAACCGTTGCCTTCACTAAGGCCTAAAGAAGCAAATGGCACTGGAATTAGTAGGCCCATTGAAACTCTAAAAACTGACACTGATTCAAGTGATTGGAAGTGAATACATCTTTCTGTCTGTCCCCTAAAGATCCAAAGCAGTTCATATGATGATTATTTATAGAAGCATTAAGAACGTTATGTTGCTAATTTGAGGGAAATTTTTATAAATCAGAAAAGATATCTAATGGGATTAGGTACTATATGAACAAGGCTCAAACACTTTCAGGGGAAGATTTTCAGTTTTAGCTTAAGAAAACAAGGGGGGAAGAGTTAAGGAAACCTAGAAGAATGAAAAAAGAACCATAAACCAAAAAATGCAACAGGTGAATGCCCTCCTTAGGCAAATGTGTTAAATACTACTGCTTAGAAAAAGCATGACACATTCAAGCATGAATATTAAATACTTCAAATTTCATTGTCATTTAAAAGAGTTGAAGAATGAAAATGATGTGTCTTTCAGCTTCTCTGTTGAGCAATGAAAACTTTTAAATAGGTCTTGGTGACTGGAAATGGTTAAGAATGAACATAAAGGATTTGGGAACACTCAGATAACCTAGTATTGAAAGGATTGAATCCAACTGGCTATCATAACAATCTATAATAAAATCCACTAGAGAACAGGGGAGGATTTCAGCGTCTGGTAGGCTGGAGGATTTCTCCTTTTTTAAATGCTTTAATAGTTCACTCTATTAGAAAACCAAAGTGGTTCAAATAAAGGCTGGGTAAGGAACAATGAATAAAACTCCCCCCTGAGTATACTGGATTTAACCAAATTCAGTGTAATGTAGCACTTTCTGAACTGATTTCCCAATTTGATATCCTGAGCCAGACCATTTTATTCCTTTAAAAAGTCTGTAATGTCTAGGCAGAGACATATTAATTCAGTAAGCGTCTGAAGAGGAAAAACAAGCTTTGAATTGTGATGTGAATCTTTAGTGTGTTGTTGAAGTGTTAAAGGAGGAGGAGGAGAGAAGAAAAAGAAAAAGTTTCCTTATACAGTATTGCATAAGACAATGATCCCAAATCGAAATGTGTAGGCTGGTATTCTGGGTCAGCTTTTTATTCATTGATTGTAAGGATGTTCATATATATTGTATTCCTTTTTTTGTACACAAAACATATTATTCCTCATGCTCTGTGTTTCAAAACTGGATGGAATGTTTAACTTCAAAACTGGATGGAATGTTTAACTTTTAGTTAAATATTTAGAAAGGTGAGACACACACACACACACACACACACACACACACACACACACACACACACCTATATACCTATCATCTATTTAGCTGGAGAGACAGAGAGAGAGATTTTAAGGAATTGGTTCCTGTGATTGCAGGGGGCTGGAAAATCCAAAATCTGTAGGGCAGCCTGGAGACCTACAAAAGAGTTGACATTGGGGGCAGTCTGGAGGCAGAATTCCTTTCTTCACAGGGGATCCCATTCTTTTCTTTAATGGCAGTCCCTGGATTGGATGACAACCCACATAATGAAGGGTAATCTGCTTTACTCAAAGTCTACTGATTTAAATGTTAATCACATCTGAAAAATACCTCACAGAAACATCTAGACTGATTTGACCGAGCAACTAGATAACCTAGTCTAGCCAAGCTGACATGTAAAATTAACCATCACAGGAGGTAAAGTTCTAACCAAAATTAAGTGACTGATTAACACAATTCAACCTAATGCTAATCTCTGAGGAGCAAAGCAAAGCATTGTGACAGGAGGCAACCCACAGAGGGCCTCAAAGTTAATGATCATGTTCTGTTTCTTGAGGCTGGTGCTGGATATATGGACATTCATTTCATTACTAGTATTTAAATTAGTATATTAGCTTATTATACATATCCACATTTATTAAATACTTCTATTAAAAATTTTCTAAGATCTAGAGTACAAAGGAACATTAAGTTGACAATGTCTGTAAATAAACAGATGCATATATGCAGCCCTGAATAATACTTGACTTTGTAAATATGAAAACACATCGAAAGCATTTTATGATGCCCAAAATATTCCATCTCTATCTCTAGATACTTTTTCAATATCTGCTGTCAACATGGATATTGAATCTCACTGAGAACAACTGAGTACAAATTCGTATTGAAAATATACAAATTCAAAATGCCATATCAAAATGACTCCAAAATGCTGTGTGTGGTGGTTCACACCTTTAATCCCGCACTTTGGGAAGCCAAGCAGGGTGGATTGCTTGATGCCAGGAGTTTGAGGCCAGCCTGAGCAACATAATGAGACCTCGTCTCTACAAAAAAAAAAGAATAAATTAGCCAGGCATCGTGATGCATGCTTGCAGTCCCAGCTACTAAAGAGGCTGAGACTGAAGGATCACCTGAGCCCGGGCAGGAGTTTGAGGCTGTGGTAAACCTTGATGGTGCCAATTTACTCCAGCCTGGGTGATAGAGTGAGACTCTGATTCAAAAAAAAAAAAAAACCTCAAAATGATAATAGTGGTTGTGGTGGGGTAGTAGGTTGTGAGTAGTTTTTCTTTTTTT